AGACGGCAGGACCGACAGTGGGACCCTCAGTAAAAGCAGGACCGACGATGGGATCCACAATAGACGGTGGGACCCTCAATTGACAGAAGGCCGACGATGGGCCCCTCAATAGACGGCAGGACCGACGGCAGGGCCCTCAAAAGACAGAAGGGCCGACGCTGGAACCCTCAATAGACGACAGGACCGACGTTGGGATCTCAATAGACGACAGGACCGAAGGTGGGACCTCAATAGACGACGGGACTTCATCAATGTTGCTACCCCCTATCCTCTTGTGGGGTTCCCAGAATAGGTCCCAAGGACGCTTTTGGTTGTCCCCGCCCTTTGAGATCCGGGTAAGAATAGTCCCTAGGGCGCTTTTGGTTGTCCCCGCCCTTTGAGATCCGGGTTAGAATAGGTCCCTAGGACGCTTTTGGTTGTCCCCGCCCTTTGAGATCCGGGTTAGAATAGGTCCCTAGGACGCTTTTGGTTGTCCCCTTTTTGGGATATGGGTTAGAATAGGTCCTCAGTCATAATAGCTACCACTGTTTTGTCTAGCCCGATTATGTACAGGCCGTGTCTTAACTGGAATATTGATGAACCTAAGGATACACTACACAAGATGGCCAAGAATCAATGTGTTTGATGAGAGAGCTGAATCATATCAAGTTGAGCGATACCAGAGGGTCTGTTCATGGCGGCAAGACAACTCAGGCACGCCATCCTCGTGCAGATATACATCCTATCTAACCCCGAGTCTTCAGACTGGAATGTAAATGTTATTGTCGTGACTGGCTTGAGCAGGTCGATCACTACTCTCATCAGCCTCATCCATATTCATATCCCCGTCTTCATTCAATGAGCTCATGCAATGTCAAGCTACAAGATAGGAGGTAAAAGCGTTCGCTCGTCCCGACGAAGGCCCGGGTTCGATTCCCCACATGGTCACAATGTGTGAAGCCTATTTGTGGTGAAGTCAGGATAACAATACAACGTACCAATACAACATATTATGTCATGACCTTGGATTATCTACAAAAGTATTTCATATTTGTTTGAAGTTGTAGATGTGATAGCAGGTCATGTCTGTGTTAATTATTTGAAAAAACGTAGGCTAAATGTTTCTATGATTGTAAGGCTTTCAAAAAATATATTTTTTTAGGAAGGAGAACTAAACAGGGAGTGCCTTACACCTGAATATTTACTACAAGACATCAGATAGTGTTCTTCATCTTCAAGGACTGAGCAGTGATGATCACAGTGGCGTTCGTCCAAAGGTGAAGGTGGTCTTGTTCTTCTACCCAGTTCAGTGTTAGTCCGTGATCAATGTCTTAGCTTGTTGTAAATCAGTGTTGCAGTGTTGTAAATAAGGTTCAGTTTTAATTTCTGATTTAAATTTTCTACTCTGTTCTAACTTTGTTTCTTGAATCTAATTTATTTAGCTTATCTTGAAAAGATGAGTGGATTATATCTGTAAATTTTGATTGTAGGTCCTTGATTACTGAGGAAGAGGTTAGATCATTTTCTTTGATGTCAAATTTATCTTGGAGACAAGGAAATTTATAGTACCATCAAATTTTGTGTTTGACCATAGCTATTTATTCATTAGTAGCATGTTTTAAAACAGTATTGGGAGATTGTAAAAATATGTGTGTAGAATTGAACAATCGATCTAATTACCTGAAACAGCGGGGGAAACATACCAAGCTCCACCCTGCATGCCCCGTTATGTGTTTGTTGAGAGACTCCAGGGACATGTTTGTTTGTAATATTTCAGGAGTAAAAGTATCTATATACCTGAGCTGAACCGAGTCAATTCCCCGTACCTCACAGTTATATAGGACAACAGGTTCAATAAATGCCTTGAACATTTTGAGATAGACATTTGGGTCTAAATCTCTAAACAGGCTAGAAGAGGACACATAGTATGCTCTTTGGACAATTTGTACAAGATATTCTACTCAATGTTTAAATTTAGAATTTTAATGAAATACAACACCCAAGTAAGTGTATCTGTCTGAAACATTAATATCTTGCCCTGCCACTGACCATTTGAAAATTAGATTTTGACTGTCTGTGCCAAACATAACTACAGCAGTTTTTTCGATGGCGGTGCTGAGTTTATTGTCCGTGCAGTATTTTGAGAAGCTGACGAATCGGAGACAAGAACCCAATCATCAGCAAACAGTAGATGACGTGTTGAAGCAATCCAGAGTAAGGCCAGAGTTTGTTATTCACAGCTGTTATGATGTAGAGTTAATGAACAGTTAATGTCGTTTTGTAATTGTCCAATGCTGCGCTAATAACCCTGAAAGTAGTTCCCTATTTGACTGTTTCTTCTGTCCTTGCCCAGCTCTGAGTTGTGGCCATCAGCAAAAATGCTTTGACCCAATTTGTGGACCGGCGCGATACGCGTCAGTGATATGTATCCATGGATGAGCCAGTGAGTGATTAGACTAACATATAGTCTCTGAAATGAACATATCGTACAGAAAAAAACAGTTGTTCAGTTATCTTAATAAAAAATATAATAAAAAGAGAGCCCAGTGATTCTCTTCATTTTCCTGATACTGCAGTAATCTAGACTTGCCAAACATTATAGACTTGCATGGGCTGTAGTTGATATATTTGTATCAGGGTCTGGAAGACAGACTAGTGCGTGATATGTATGGAAGACACACAAAGCCACCAACCCCACTACATCAGAGGCTATGCTCTACATGTTCAACCATTGGTGATGAAAAACACTACATACTTCACTGTACCAAACACACTCAAGAAAAAAATATACTCTTTGGGAAATTATCCACACAAAATGTATATGTCCACAGTCATGAAAACAAATTATATCACTACTTCCTCTCAAATAATGAAGCCATCAATATCAATTGCATTTGTTTCCATGTCTATCATTTCAAGCAATAAATACCTCTTGACTGTTGACATTTTATGTATAACATCATCAAACAGATGTAATATAGATTGTTTTTTTTGTGTCTACAGGAATGTATGTATATCGGTATTTATATACTTATTATGCCTCAAAGTGAGATTGACCAATCAGATAGCAGAACCATTGACCCCCACGTGAGCCCATATACCGTCAATACAAATCCCAGATGGTTGATACTGACCTAATTTTAGACCTAATACCGTCAGTAACAGCCATCTTGGATTTTCCAAAACCCACTTCACATATTTCAGATGGAACTTCTGGTACCAAAATTCGTTATTTGACACTGTTTTGTGTTTTACTATCATTAATTGTGATGTGTAAGGACATTAATCTGATTTTTAGATCACGTTCGTGACTTTACTGATAAAGATTATAGTCAAAATTTTCAACAAGGTTTGGCCGCTCAGGTTTGATGAGTGGTCTCCCTTCGACGTCATCAATGTTGTCAGTGTCAAGTTTTCATTATGACATGACACGTGCGATATGGATACCAGAGAGTGTAAACTTTCGCCATGATAAATTCGTTATGGTGTTTTTAGTTGCTGTATACGGTGTCATATTAGGTTAGCTGAAAAATATTGGGCTTCCGACTCGCCCAATACTTTTCTGCTAACCTTATATGACATCGTATACGGCAACTAAAGACACCATAACTGATAATATGAATCATAATATTTTGTCATTTAAATTTTTTTGCATCTGTTTCGTAATAGAATGTTTCTGCAATAAGTATTATCTAGCTTATCTTAGGCATGAGTGGGTGAGTGAGTGATATGAATGTTGGCATGAGTGAGTGAGTGAGTGATATGTATGTAGGGATGAGTGAGTGAGTGATATGAATGTAAGCATGAGTTAGTAGGCCGCCGCCAACAGGACCATATAGCTAATAATGATATGAAGAAGAAGAAACAAACTTTGGCCACGGTCAGCCTGGGGTGCATTTCTCGTCTGGTCAAACAATTAATGACAGGTTGACCAGGCAGTGACCACCGAAGCCGAGCACAGATGTCGGCTAGGCACTGTTCGTTTCAATTAAATAAATTGTCTCATTGCATAGTTACGTTTTCGCAGCGCAAAGACAGTCGCAAGCCAGTTCCCATGCGAAAGGAGACATCGCTGTGCCTCACACCCGGCCCCCGCATCCCCACCCCTCAACTGCAACCCCACCCCTCAACTGCAACCCGACTCCTACATCCCACCCCTCAACTGCAACCCGACTCCTACATCCCACCCTCAACTGCAACCCCACCCCTCAACTGCAACCCCACCCCTACACCCCCACCCCTCAACTGCAACCCGACTCCTACATCCTACCCCTCAACTGCAACCCGACTCCTACATCCCACCCCTCCACTGCAACCCAACTCCTACACCCCCACCCCTCAACTGCAACCCGACTCCTACATCCCACCCCTCCACTGCAACCCAACTCCTACACCCCCACCCCTCAACTGCAACCCGACTCCTACACCCCACCCCTCAACTGCAACCCGACTCCTACACCCCACCCCTCAACTGCAACCCGACTCCTACACCCCACCCCTCAACTGCAACCCGACTCCTACACCCCACCCCTCAACTGCAACCCGACTCCTACACCCCCGACCCTCCCCTCGGTGCTTCGTGAACGCGGCAACCCTCACCGCCTGTGTATAAGGACTGAGACGGCGGCACAGCCGTATCGGATAACGTGGAATCCAGGCAGCCGAGAGCGGAAGATGGGGGGAAGGGGGATGGGGATGGGGGAACAGGCCTCTAATTGATAACCACTGGCGAGGAATGCCGGTTGTGCGCCGGGCGGTGTCCCTAGCGTATGAACAAGAATTCTCAGTTGGCACACTGGCCCTGAGGATAAAATTCGGATACATTGCTCGGAAAACATAAATTAAAAAGTAGATGCAATAAGGTGTAAAATTGGAATTTGTAAACATCGGGACACTTCAGCATTGCATAATTGTCTACGAAACTCCGCCATCCCCATAAAAGAACGAATTGTGATATTCCAATTTGACCCAAGTAACAACTAACCAGATTTTAGTTGGAAAAGTTAAAAAGAATGACCCACCGTAATCATTGCGTCCGAAGTAAGTCCAAGCACCATAGGACAAATAGGTGCAGAAGGAAGTCCCGCAACTGTACACTTTCCATACTCCACGGGCCTCCCATCTGTTGTAGGCGCTAGAGACCATCCAGGACACTGTGGAGAAGCCGATCACAAACAACAGTGTGCCTACCAACATGCACACCAAGGCAATCTTCATATACATCGATGCAGCCATGATATTCGCCATCTTGCTAGAATTAAGCTGACAGTGGAGTAGAGAGAGAGAGATCCCGCCCTAACTACTTCAACGAAGCTGACTGACTAACTTAGCTAGCGGCGAATGTGGCGGCCCACCGGTAGCAGGACTCTTCCAGAGTTTACTATTTTTACCGGAATTGCGCGAGTTGCCATAGCAACCTGTGAAGATGAGTTTCAATGTATGGCCTGTGGTACGATCAGCAGAGTGCAGCTGCCAAGGTTGAATTGTAACGAAACACCCCCTCCCCCTCCCTATCTCTCAACCCACCCCCTCCTGAATCATTTACGTCCCCATAACTTCCCCGGACGCTGACACATCTGCATGGGGGTCGGTGACGGCAGAGACCAACATGTAGTCCCAGAAATAAAGTTATCTTATTTAAAAATAAATATCTACAAAATAAAAAGTAAAATCCAAATGGAGCCCAGAACAATAATATATTCTAGAGCTGATGCAATCTAGACTTGCTAAATCAATCTGGACTTGGTTGGATTATGTTTTGATTTATTATTTCTGGGGTGCAGACAATGTAGCTATATGTGCAGTAGTAACTGATGACAATCCGACAAGCAATGGCGTCTGCGTTGTGCATCGTGAACGAACTATAACAAAAGAAGCGCTGTGGACTGCGTCAGGTTTTTACGATTAAACACATTCTTTCTTTGGTGTGGCTAAACTAGAAAATAACATATAATCAAACAATACCGTGCACTTCGCAAATTGTATCAGAGTATTTGACTCTTAAAATATGTTTTAAGCAAAACCGCACCAATCTCGCTAGCTGAAGATAAAGCAACCCTCCTCACACAGATTGATGTCTGAACAATACATCACGTGTTTCTCCAGGTTGCAGTGTGCATGTGGTGACAGTAACCCTGGAGTGTCAGGTGGCGACAGTAACCCTGGAGTGTCAGGTGGTGACAGTAACCCTGGAGTGTCAGGTGGTGACAGTAACCCTGGAGAGTCAGGTGGTGACAGTAACCCTGGAGAGTCAGGTGGTGACAGTAACCCTGGAGAGTCAGGTGGTGACAGTAACCCTGGAGTGTCAGGTGGTGACAGTAACCCTGGAGTGTCAGGTGGTGACAGTAACCCTGGAGTGTCAGGTGGTGACAGTAGCCCTGGAGTGTCAGGTGATGACAGTAACCCGGGAGCGTCAGGTGATGACAGTAACCCTGGAGTGTCAGGTGGTGACAGTAACCCTGGAGAGTCAGGTGGTGACAGTAACCCTGGAGCGTCAGGTGGTGACAGTAACCCTGGAGTGTCAGGTGGTGACAGTAACCCTGGAGAGTCAGGTGGTGACAGTAACCCTGGAGTGTCAGGTGGTGACAGTAACCCTGGAGAGTCAGGTGGTGACAGTAACCCTGGAGTGTCAGGTGGTGACAGTAACCCTGGAGTGTCAGGTGGTGACAGTAACCCTGGAGTGTCAGGTGGCGACAGTAACCCTGGAGTGTCATGTGGTGACAGTAGCCCTGGAGTGTCAGGTGGTGACAGTAACACGGGAGCGTCAGGTGGTGACAGTAACCCGGGAGTGTCAGGTGGTGACAGTAACCCTGGAGTGTCAGGTGGTGACAGTAACCCTGGAGAGTCAGGTGGTGACAGTAACCCTGGAGTGTCAGGTGGCGACAGTAACCCGGGAGTGTCAGGTGGTGACAGTAACCCTGGAGTGTCAGGTGGTGACAGTAACAAGGGAGCGTCCGGTGGTGACAGTAACCCGTGAGTGTCAGGTGGTGACAGTAACCCTGGAGTGTCAGGTGGTGACAGTAACAAGGGAGTGTCAGGTGATGACAGTAACCCGGGAGTGTCAGGTGGTGACAGTAACACGGGAGTGTCAGGTGGTGACAGTAACCCTGGAGTGTCAGGTGGTAACATTAACCCGGGAGTGTCAGGTGATGACAGTAACCCTGGAGTGTCAGGTGATGACAGTAACCCTGGAGTGTCAGGTGGTGACATTAACCCTGGAGTGTCAGGTGATGACAGTAACCCTGGAGTGTCAGGTGATGACAGTAGCCATGGAGTGACAGGTGGTGACAGTAACCCTGGAGTGTCAGGTGATGACAATAGCCCTGGAGTGTCAGGTGGTGACAGTAACCCTGGAGGGTCAGGTGATGACAGTAACCCGGGAGTGTCAGGTGGTGACATTAACCCTGGAGTGTCAGGTGATGACAGTAGCCCTGGAGTGTCAGGTGATGACAGTAACCCTGGAGTGTCGGGTGATGACAGTAGCCCTGGAGTGACAGGTGGTGACAGTAACCCTGGAGTGTCAGGTGATGACAGTAGCCCTGGAGTGACAGGTGGTGACAGTAACAAGGGAGTGACAGGTAGTGACAGTAACCCTGAAGTGTCAGGTGGTGACAGTAACAAGGGAGTGTCAGGTGGTGACAGTAACCCTGGAGTGACAGGTGGTGACAGTAACACGGGAGTGACAGGTAGTGACAGTAACCCTGGAGTGTCAGGTGGCGACAGTAACCCGGGAGTGTCAGGTGGTGACAGTAACCCGGGAGCGCCAGGTGGTGACAGTAACCCTGGAGTGTCAGGTGATGACAGTAGCCCTGGAGCGTCAGGTGGAGACAGTAACCCTGGAGTGTCAGGTGATGACAGTGACCCTGGAGTGTCAGGTGGAGACAGTAACCCTGGAGTGTCAGGTGGTGACAGTAGCCCTGGAGTGTCAGGTGGTGACAGTAACAAGGGAGTGTCAGGTGGTGACAGTAACAAGGGAGTGTCAGGTGGTGACAGTAGCCCTGGAGTGTCAGGTGGAGACAGTAACCCTGGAGTGTCAGGTGGTGACAGTAACCCTGGAGTGTCAGGTGGTGACAGTAACCCTGGAGTGTCAGGTGGTGACAGTAGCCCTGGAGTGACAGGTGGTGACAGTAACAAGGGAGTGTCAGGTGGTGACAGTAACCCGGGAGTGCCAGGTGGTGACAGTAGCCCTGGAGTGTCAGGTGGAGACAGTAGCCCTGGAGTGTCAGGTGATGACAGTAACCCTGGAGCGTCAGGTGGTGACAGTAACCCTGGAGTGTCAGGTGGTGACAGTAACCCTGGAGTGTCAGGTGGTGACAGTAACCCTGGAGTGTCAGGTGGTGACATTAACCCTGGAGTGTCAGGTGGGGACAGTAACCCTGGAGTGTCAGGTGGTAACATTAACCCTGGAGTGTCAGGTGATGACAGTAACCCGGGAGTGTCAGGTGGTGACATTAACCCTGGAGTGTCAGGTGATGACAGTAGCCCTGGAGTGTCAGGTGGTGACAGTAACCCTGGAGAGTCAGGTGATGACAGTAACACGGGAGTGTCAGGTAGTGACAGTAACCCTGGAGTGTCAGGTGGTGACAGTAACACGGGAGTGTTAGGTGATGACAGTAACCCTGGAGCGTCAGGTGGTGACAGTAACCCTGGAGTGTCAGGTGGTGACAGTAACCCTGGAGTGTCAGGTGGTAACATTAACCCGGGAGTGTCAGGTGATGACAGTAACCCTGGAGTGTCAGGTGATGACAGTAACCCGGGAGTGTCAGGTGGTGACATTAACCCTGGAGTGTCAGGTGATGACAGTAACCCTGGAGTGTCAGGTGATGACAGTAGCCATGGAGTGACAGGTGGTGACAGTAACCCTGGAGTGTCAGGTGATGACAGTAGCCCTGGAGTGTCAGGTGGTGACAGTAACCCTGGAGGGTCAGGTGATGACAGTAACCCGGGAGTGTCAGGTGGTGACATTAACCCTGGAGTGTCAGGTGATGACAGTAGCCCTGGAGTGTCAGGTGATGACAGTAACCCTGGAGTGTCGGGTGATGACAGTAGCCCTGGAGTGACAGGTGGTGACAGTAACCCTGGAGTGTCAGGTGATGACAGTAGCCCTGGAGTGACAGGTGGTGACAGTAACAAGGGAGTGACAGGTAGTGACAGTAACCCTGAAGTGTCAGGTGGTGACAGTAACAAGGGTGTGTCAGGTGGTGACAGTAACCCTGGAGTGACAGGTGGTGACAGTAACACGGGAGTGACAGGTAGTGACAGTAACCCTGGAGTGTCAGGTGGCGACAGTAACCCGGGAGTGTCAGGTGGTGACAGTAACCCGGGAGCGCCAGGTGGTGACAGTAACCCTGGAGTGTCAGGTGATGACAGTAGCCCTGGAGCGTCAGGTGGAGACAGTAACCCTGGAGTGTCAGGTGATGACAGTGACCCTGGAGTGTCAGGTGGAGACAGTAACCCTGGAGTGTCAGGTGGTGACAGTAGCCCTGGAGTGTCAGGTGGTGACAGTAACAAGGGAGTGTCAGGTGGTGACAGTAACAAGGGAGTGTCAGGTGGTGACAGTAGCCCTGGAGTGTCAGGTGGAGACAGTAACCCTGGAGTGTCAGGTGGTGACAGTAACCCTGGAGTGTCAGGTGGTGACAGTAACCCTGGAGTGTCAGGTGGTGACAGTAGCCCTGGAGTGACAGGTGGTGACAGTAACAAGGGAGTGTCAGGTGGTGACAGTAACCCGGGAGTGCCAGGTGGTGACAGTAGCCCTGGAGTGTCAGGTGGAGACAGTAGCCCTGGAGTGTCAGGTGATGACAGAACCCTGGAGCGTCAGGTGGTGACAGTAACCCTGGAGTGTCAGGTGGTGACAGTAACCCTGGAGTGTCAGGTGGTGACAGTAACCCTGGAGTGTCAGGTGGTGACATTAACCCTGGAGTGTCAGGTGGTGACAGTAACCCTGGAGTGTCAGGTGGTAACATTAACCCTGGAGTGTCAGGTGATGACAGTAACCCGGGAGTGTCAGGTGGTGACATTAACCCTGGAGTGTCAGGTGATGACAGTAGCCCTGGAGTGTCAGGTGGTGACAGTAACCCTGGAGAGTCAGGTGATGACAGTAACACGGGAGTGTCAGGTAGTGACAGTAACCCTGGAGTGTCAGGTGGTGACAGTAACACGGGAGTGTTAGGTGATGACAGTAACCCTGGAGCGTCAGGTGGTGACAGTAACCCTGGAGTGTCAGGTGGCGACAGTAACCCTGGAGTGACAGGTGATGACAGTAACACGGGAGTGTCAGGTAGTGACAGTAACCCGGGAGTGTCAGGTGGTGACAGTAACCCTGGAGGGTCAGGTGGTGACAGTAACAAGGGAGTGTCAGGTGGTGACAGTAACCCTGGAGTGTCAGGTGGCGACAGTAACCCTGGAGTGTCAGATGATGACACTAACACGGGAGTGTCAGGTGGTGACAGTAACACGGGAATGTCAGATGCTTGGTTGGTTGGTTTGTTGTTTAACGCGGCACTCAGCAATATTCCAGCTATATGACGTCGGTCTGAAAATAATCGAGTCTGGACCAGACAATCCATTGACATCATGAGGAACAATCCACGCAATTGGGATCGATGACATGCATCAACCAAGTCAGCGAGCCTGACCACCCGATCCCGTTAGTCGCCTTTTACGACAAGCATATGATCATTAATTGATTGTCTTTGTGCGTAATATCTAATTTAGGTAGAAACTTCAATCTCAACGTTTGATATTTTTCACATATAAAAAGAAAATGAATCTCGTCTTCAATCTCCTGGTTGGTACAGTTAGAACACCTTCAATTTTCGAAATCACTATGCTTGGTTCTACGATATTTATTGACAAGGACGTTATGGAGAGATATTCGAAATTTACAAAGAGCTCTCAATTGAGTTTTATCTTGTAATATGCGTAAATATTTTTCTGGTTGTAACAATGATTTAATACCAGCATAATGCTTGAGAAAATGTGAAGAGGAAACTTGTTGGTGCCAGTTTTGCTGAAATATGTCTAATAATCTTTGTTTAAATGTATGTAAAAATAGTTTTTCATTACCAGTGTCTTGTGGGATCCATACAAAGGATAATCCAGTATTAAATAATATGCTTCTTACACCAGATACCCAATTCGTTTTCCCTTCACCATCTAATTGTTTTAGCATTTTGTAACATTGGAATGGGTACCTGTGAGCTTCCATTTTTAAATAATTTTATCCAATATTTAACAACACGCAGCTGGCTATGTACGTATACACTACAGCGACCAGTTTCACCAAGTACTGCCTTCTTTGAAGCATATTTACCAATGCATAAAAACTGCTTAAAATACAAAGTGTGAACTTACTAATTGGATTTAAAATATTTAATGCCCCATATTTCCGAGCCGTAAAACAAAATGGGTATAATTGTACCATCAAATATCGAATTTGCTGTAGAAAACAGCTACAGCTTTATATTCCTGCCTACCCGAGGTTGGGTTGAATCTGGGTTTCTAAAAAAATAATTCTATTACATTTCTTGGTTTAATCTTGGTTACAAGTAGGGCAGCATACCAGAAGAAACATGCAATCACCAGGCCAAGAAACCACTTTAAAAATACTGCTCGCTTTTTATAGAACATTCCAGCGATAATTATTTCCATACGGATATAATGGACACAAGAACATTTATATTATTCAATTGACGCGTGATACATGTGTTTGTTGAGGTATAGTCCAGAAAGGTCCGGTTGAAAATCAAGCTGTCACTCAAGAGGGGAGGTAACTCTAATTTCCTACATCTGCCAAAGCGTGGTTTGCTAGAAGTTTCTTCACCAAGATGGCGGACGACAACAAGGCTAAGGTAATGCTTTAGAGCAATCATTGGAGAAACTCACTCTTCGTGATTGATATCAAAACCAAACGTTGTTGGCTTGTTTAGCTTAACAAGTTACCGTTGTATCAGGAGTGAAATGAGTATTCAATAACCACGTGCCTATTCAAAAAGCTCTTTACTTGCAAAGTTACAAGTTGAGATCAGTGATGCTGATATACGGAGGTGACTGATAAATGTGATCTTTCACCACCCCTATCTATTTAAACACGCTTTCTTTGTATAACGATGTTGATCCAGCTCAGCTCTTTCTGTACTTTATGTTGAATTTTTCTTGAGGAATTGGTGCCTTTGTTCAGCGCATCAAGACCTTCCAAAGAGGTATCATCTTGCTGGGGCATCATCACATTAAGCATTGTTGCATATATCATGTTTATAGAGCCATTTTGCGTAACATGAAACACATATATGACCACTGACTATGCAGAATCTAAATGCAGATATATAAGTCTAATTCAACTACAAATGGGGTTTAATTCCAGCCTTTGAACAACGTTTGGAGAAAACAATCACAACTAAAATTAGTGATTGAAAGTTTTCAATTCACCACATGCACAAGTGCACAGGATTTCCTTCTTCCTTGTACTCTGCAACAACGCTTCCAACTATGCATTTTTGACGTGTAAACACATCGTCTCGGGAAAGTACCGTGAAATCCCGCTTATCCGGACCCCAGATATACGGAAACTTCACCTACTGGACGATATATACTGGCCTACCTTTAGAATACAGTACCACATACCTTTCGGCCTACCTTTAGAATACAGTACCACAAACCTTTCAAACACATGACAATACACTTTTATAGCAAGCACTAGTTTACGGAAGCACTTTCATTTTGTATATATTTTTTATTTCGTTTTTCTCGTAATTCAAGTGGCTAAAAGGGTTAAAAGTGGGAACTAATATACATATATTATTCTTTCGGTGCATTGATTTACATTATTATGCACAAGAATGTAGTTTATAAGGGATATTATATTGGTGCTGAACACATCCAAATACTGCTAGTGTTAGGGTAGGTTACCCCGAACTCTATCCTTAGTCCTTGGATCCCCTTTACGATCAATCACCCCTTTTCAATCATTAGGGTTAGGTACCCGTTTAGTGCCTATTAGATTACCCGTTTTCTGTCCTTAGCCCTTAGATCCCCTTTACGATCAATCACCCCTTTATGGTCATTAGGGTTCGGTAAATCTACCCGTTTAGTTTCTATTATAGATTCTATAGCGGCTCCTAATATTCTTCACACAAAAACATCGAGTAAAAAGAATGAAATGGTTTTGTGTCAAATACTTTTGCTACTGGAAACTGTCCTGGAACATTCACACAAGCAACTTTCACCAGCTACATCTTTTCAGTACTGATTCAAAAGCGAACTCACCGTTGTGTTGTCACTAGCCATGCTCATGCCTCCCTCGTTCCTTACTATTATCCACATCATCCTTACAGTTTTCCCTACCACACTTTTCTGTCACAAAATCAACCCAACGAATTATTAAATAACACATCATTCATGCGTACTTGCGAGTTCGACGTCTGACGCCTGGAGCCGTTTTCAGTTTGCGTCATATCGGATCATTCCTCGCCACTCGGTATCTTGTAGATTACGGGATGGGACGAGTGTGCCATATGGTATCCGGATCATTCGTAAGTGTCTATAGACTATAGTCACGAGACACCATGCCTACCCGTAACCTTCGAAAGGGTCCGTCACCTATTCAACCCTTTTTGTTCAGTTCCATAACGTCATAGGCATGACTAGGTTAATTTGCACTTTGTTTCACAGTGTGGACGTAGCTCAGTCGGTTAGCTGTCAGGCTAACAATCCGAAGGTCGCGGGTTCGCGTCTGATGGATTCTCACAAAAACTGGTTGCTTGTCTTTGAGACATGTGACCTAGGGCAGAGACCGTCCTCACGAGAAGTTGTGGTACTGTATTCTAAAGGTGCTCCTATATGCTACATTACATGATTCATATACTCGGAAACCCAGTTTCTAGATCTGGACAGTAATATCAATTACCATATTTGACGTAATAAGCGCCCACAGTGATATTTGTTAATTTATTGGCAAGTGAACAATCCCAATTACCACCCCTTCCGATTGATCAATATCTGTATAATACGCACTTGTGTGTTATATGCACCTTTAATTATGGGCAATTAAATTCTATTAAACATATATTGTATATAAACAGTTCAGGCTGTCAGCATAATCCACGAAATTTATCTTTCAGCTCTGTTTTTTTCCACCAAAATAATATTCTAATAAGAGACCCCTATTTCTAATTTTGAGAGCGCCCTGGGCGCTTATTACGTCAAATACGGTACCAACAGTGCAAAATGCATACTATTGTGTCCCACTTGGCACCAAAAGCACTAAATTCTAGAGACCCAAGGCACTATATACTAGAGATCAAAACATGTAGTCTGTCTCCCTGACCCAAGAGACCAGTGAAGATCTGGGGTAGAATAAGTCTTCAGCTACCCATGCTAAACCAACCAAGACCCAAGAGAGAAAAAATAAAAAAGGAGTCCAACTCAAGTCTAGAAGTCTGATTTGACAAGAAGAGATTCCCTCAACTTAAGCACTATATACTAGAGCACTAAAGCACTATCATGTGACTATATTCTTGTCAGTTCAAGCACAACAGACACTTCATTTCAGAACAACACTTCATTTCAGGATAGAGGTAGTCTTGACTTGCAAAATCATTCTAGACTTAAGACAGACTACATGTGACAAAATACTAAACGACAAAATACATTTCTATCTCTGATATCGGATAGTGTTATCTGATTATTATGCTCACAATCTATCCTAGTGGTTTAGCTTTCATTCAAAGGTTTACATTGATTGAACAAAAGAACATTTCAGAATGTCTGAAAAATCTATTTTCATTAAATCTTCCAGACTTGGTAGAGGTATGCTGGTAGAAGCACATACAAATGTTCTTTGTGTTTGTAGTGGTGTCATTAATAAATGGATCATTTTCATAGCTTGGAGTAAAACAAGTGCAGAGTATTCATCAGGTAGATTGATCCGACTTTCTAAATCAAACTTGGTGTATATGGTGTATGAGCAATGTGTGAGGTGCTTGGTGTAATGTCTTTGTAATGCCTCCAAAAACAGAATTCTTGGGGGAACCCAGTCTATTTAAAGGGCAAATAAAGCCAACATAACAACTTTGCAAATTTTAATACTCTAGGGCATTCTTAATTTCAAATGCTTGAAATTGAATTTGAAAAAAAAACCGGGAAAAGACAGGCGAAAAATGACACAACTGAGAGGATTCCCCTGACTGGGGTTAAAACAGGTTCCTGGTGTTTGACGCGCTGCACAACTTCAACGATCATGACGACCAGTCTGCCTTCTCCCGCCTCTGAAATATTAGTACATTACATATTTTTTCTGTCTGCTCATCCATTGGATTACCGTGTCCACAACGTACGTCACCTTACCGACCTTAGTAACAACACTGAATATGCTTCCAGTTGTTTACTCAGCTGATTAATCCCTCCATGTACTATGTGGAATAGGGCCAAACAGGATGTTAGTAATAAAACACTAGTTACAATTTGTTAATTGTTATTTAATTCTTCACAATGTCAAGATCAAAAGCCGATCTCATGATCAACAATGTATGTAATGTTGTTATTTTTGTAGGATTAAAAGAAAAAGCAGAAAGTATATGTATAACAGCTAAGAATCACAAGGTAGATAAACACGACAAACAAATCAGCCAATGAAAACAGTTGTCCCCATCGTAGCTTTAGGCCACAGGTTTTTTTTGGAAGCCGATCACGGAGCATGTGATTCCAGCACTTTCACTTGGACGTTTAAATACTTTCTACGAATGTTATGAATTTTTCTCTCTCTGAAATTGACTAAATGTATCTTGGAAAATTCATATTTGCTACAAAAGTAAGCTTTGTGTTGACATTTGACCGTCTTGTGGTTTACTTTGCTTTTTGCTTACTCCATTACTGTTCACACGAGTGGCAATCCATTGTTGTGAATGTAAGACCTCAGAAGGGTTACTTAAAGTGATAATTGCACCTTATCGTTTTCAGCCGTGCATGTCGGTCAGTATCACAATAAAATAGAATCCTAGAGTTAAAGTACGATAAACGAGTTTGTAGGTCCACATTTTACTACATTTCAGCCGGGGCTGCTGTATGAGATGTAGGGACACAGGTGGCTACTCAGGAACATTTCTAAGGGGACCATTGGATATTGGGGAGGGGGCTGAAAATGCTTGCCACAAAAGTTACGTTGTTGCAAGGTGTTTCTCTTAAATAAATGTTTTATCCCTGAACAGTGAGTTGGGTTTTACGCCATTGTGTACAGTGTTCGAGTTATGAGAGAAAAGCCCAAAGTGATGCAGGTCTTGGACATTTACCATTTTATTGAAACCCACCATGGTGCTGACAAACCTAGAATCAAAATCTGGGTGAAATTGGGTTCATGCCCAAGGGATGCATCTTTTCACAATCAATTGTAGCATCTCTCTCCCTCCCCCGTCACATGCACACTTAGTGAAGACCATGAACATGGGCCTTTATCATTCAATCATTGCTTGGCAAGTGTACACTGTATTCCTTGATACATGACTGGTTGAACTTGTCCACGATATGTAAGCAATGTCACGGATAAACGTGTTCTAGCAACAGCGTATTTAAAGTTTACTTGGCAAGAAAGCTTACATTGGTTGACAGGACTGTTTGACAGGCTCCACTGGTGATGTTTTTAGGCTTACTACACAACCATTATTGGCATGAGAGGTTGTTTTTCCATGTACATCTTCCATGTTGCCCTGGAGAATTCTTTTGATACATGTCATTCAAAGGTTAAAGTCATAATCATGGAATAGAAAAAGACTCATCAAAACGAGTGTGGTTACACTGTGTCAAAAAGTATTGATGCATTTTCCATTACCTCTTTTCCATGGGCCCTTTGTTATGAAAGGTTGTAATTATGATTAGTCAAAGGTCAAGGTCGGCATTCATTTTTTGTTAAATATGATTATATCATTGTCATGGTTACCTTTACAGGTATAAATCTTTATAGTGCCATGTATCTTTACAAATCCTACAGCATGAAATGTTTACAACATGTCTATCAAAGGTCAAGGCTGTTTTTGAGGTTATTTGGAAACTTGGTTGTATCATCTGTTTCTTGTTAGTTACTGTTGCACTTCTACTTGTACACATGGTGTAAGTCTGACACTTGAATAATTGTCTTAAGAATTTTTTTAAGTGCATGAGGAAATGGCAGTGAAATGGCGAAGAACTCACTCACTGTTCCTGTTTTTGCAAGCAAGTGTTTTTTGTGTATTTCTCCTGTTTGTAGATTTGAGATTGTGACCATGAATTATTTTCACTGAGAGACATCTGTGATTGTTTTGACCCACCATGCTCACAATCTGGCCCTGAAAGACCGAGGTATCTTACTGCAAACACGAGAAACTGGCCTCTAAAGATGTACTATCATACCTCCATGTCAAAATGACCAGACCCGATTGGTCCATGTGATCTTGATTAAATACTATACCCCACCAGCGAAGGAAATAAATTTCTTATACCCCTCCACAAAGAACACAGGCTACACATGGATTTCTCATCGGCAGAATAAATCCTTAATACCCCACTACAAAACAATAAGTTCCACACAAGTCAGTTAAAGTCATGTGACTGCACAAGTTAACCTCATCTCAATCGAACAGCTGTGTCCTATCCATTTTGAATTTGTTTTAATTCTTTTACAGTCGCAGATTAAAACATTACAATGAGATAAATTGATTGTAGTAATATCACTTGGGGTACATGTGGTCATATGCATCCCTCGTTAGGTTTTATAAAACCTATCGCGGGACACATCAGACCTCAAGTACCCCTCATGATACTGCTTCAACAGACATTTTGTCAAGTGTTTGGATTCATTGTTTCATTCATTTTTTTTACCGGGATATGCCTTGCATTTGTGCTGAAGCATATCTTCAATAATTGGCACTGTCCTGTGTGCCAAATATTTTCCCTGACATGTATTATATTGTAAAACTACAATTTTTCTATGTGACCAATGCAGGCAGCAGAGCTGAAACTTAAAGGAAACAAAGCTTTGGAGCAGGGCGACACGGAGGAAGCTGTACGATGTTACAGCGAGGCTATCAAGCTGGACGACGGCAATCACGTCCTCTACAGCAACCGCTCAGCAGCACTTCTCAAGTGTGGCAAGTACCTTGAGGCCCTGGGAGACGCAGATCGGACGGTCGAGATCAAACCTGATTGGGGAAAGGTAGGTAAAATACTCACTGAGTTTCTATGACCTTACCCGTGAAGATCCGGGTGGGAATAGGCCTTCAGCAACCCATGCTTGCTGTAAAAGGCGAATATGCTTGTTGTAAGAGGCAACTAATGGGATTTGGTGGTCAGGCTCGCTGACTTGGTTAATGCTTCATGGGAAATACTGGAGTGTTTATTGTTGTGGTTTCAGGGCTATTCACGTAAAGGTGCGGCACTGTGTTACCTGGAGAGGTACCAGGAGGCTTCCGAAGTCTATGAAGAGGGCCTGAAGCTGGATCCCAGCAATAAGCAGCTTCTGGATGGTCTGGAGGATGCCAAGAAGCATCTTACAGGTGTGAAATAGTTCCTTCCACCCCTGTTTGTGTAGCCCCTGACTGGCTGTGTGTGTCACCCGTCACCAGTGTTGCGTGTTTACTCCCAAATTGAAATAATATGTTAACCCTGAAATCTGTACGTTAAAGAACTTGGTGCGAAACCAACAAACAACCAACAACTGGTATACAATCAACAAATGTATTACAAGATTAACTAGGTTTACAAGTCAATACATATTACTGCACAGAAATTATTTTAGGCAGAACATAATAGAGTGGTTGTATAATATTCAATGGCAATATATAATATGATGGCAGTGTCCTGTAACAAATACAAAAATACAGTGGTGATAGCAAAAGTCAATGATAATAGTATATTCACCCAGCGGCGACAGTGGTCAAGCTTCCGAGAAACACCTAGGCTGGGGTGATGAGTGATCTTCACACGAAAGCTGGTCTTGATGTCATGAAATGTGTGAGAGACAAAATGTGTGGGAGGGGCATGTTCTTGACCCCTTATTTATAGTCTAACTAGCTACTGGAAATTTCTGCACAGTGCCCTCACCAGTCTAGCGGCACAAGAGCATTACACAATATTCCACCTCAGTCAACGGTATTCTAGAAGTTTACATACCATATTTTCTTGAGTATAGTGGATTCAATATTTTGGAAAAAAATTAAATTTGAATACCAAGCGCAGAAAAAAATAATTACACCGTACCCCTTTAGTGAAGTCCGGCAAACGAACGGGTGATGAGAAACTTGGTCAGTACAAATTCGAAATTTGAGATAAAAAATCACCAGACATGTTGATTTACCGTTTAAATTGTATTTTTGTTCTGCTGGGCATTGTTTTATATCCAGGGATTAAGATTACCTTGTGTATTTTCTCGTAAACTAAGCCGGACACAGCAATCAGCTGTACACATGTTTTCTTGGAATCTACCGGTGATTCGGTCAAGACACACCCAATGATATAACTTTACAGGATTTTAATGCAAGCATCGGCAAAAATTGTATCTGAAACTATAATTTTATCAGGAATAATATATTCCAATATCTTGTTAATTTAGATGCAGCTTTTACTAAACATATAATAATAATAACCCTAAGCGAAGAAGCTGATCGCTATTGCCGGGTATTATTTTTTACATGGAACCTGTCTGACCAGTCACCGTCAAGGCTCCCGTGCACGTGATCGCGAGAATTACGTGTTGACATAGAATCGTCCAACAAAAACAAATATGACTTTTAACGAGTCAAAGTATAGCATTTATGATATATGTATCTATTCTCTGTCAACTAAAGTTCGTTTCAAGGCGTCAATATTGGTAATCTGACCGTGGTTGCTGTTAATAACGGTGAGTTGTGCGATCTTCTGATCGCTTCACACACGATTTCGCCGAAATTAATTAAAACAATATTAAAAGGAATTTTGAATAAAATTAATGAAATAATTCACAAACATATAGCCAGACAGTGTAATTACATGATTAATTTGCGTACTTCAGTATGGATTTGTTGACATGGTATTTCCCGTATTACGTGCTCACGGTAATGTCTTTCCATGAGGGAAAAACATCAAAACTCATTAATTCGTGTATAATGTGCACCCCCTTCTACACAGCTGTGTTTTTTGGAAAACTATACGGTATCACAGTAGCATCTAATTATAGTAACTTCCTCAAAACTGCTTACTTTAAGTAGTACTACATTCCTGACAACTAATCACATCCAAACACAACTGTCAACAGAAACAATGTAACACAGTTACAATCATAGTTCAACAATAAAATACACTACTATATAACTCCAGTCTCAAACCCCTTGGTGTAGCCCCTGACTCCCAGTGTCACCAGTCACATACCCCTTGGTGCAGCCCCTGACTCCCAGTGTCACCAGTCACATACCCCTTGGTGCAGCCCCTGACTCCCAGTGTCACCAGTCACATACCCCTTGGTGCAGCCCCTGACTCCCAGTGTCACCAGTCACATACCCCTTGGTGCAGCCCCTGACTCCCAGTGTCACCAGTCACATACCCCTTGGTGTAGCCCCTGACTCCCAGTGTCACCAGTCACATACCCCTTGGTGCAGCCCCTGACTCCCAATGTCACCAGTCACATACCCCTTGGTGCAGCCCCTGACTCCCAGTGTCACCAGTCACATACCCCTTGGTGCAGCCCCTGACTCCCAGTGTCACCAGTCACATACCCCTTGGTGTAGCCCCTGACTCCCAGTGTCACCAGTCACATAACCCTTGGTGCAGCCCCTGACTCCCAGTGTCACCAGTCACATACCCCTTGGTGTAGCCCCTGACTCCCAGTGTCACCAGTCACATACCCCTTGGTGCAGCCCCTGACTCCCAATGTCACCAGTCACATACCCCTTGGTGCAGCCCCTGACTCCCAGTGTCACCAGTCACATACCCCTTGGTGTAGCCCCTGACTCCCAGTGTCACCAGTTACTCATTTCGTTTCAGGCCCTGCAGGCAGTCAGCCAATCACCAACCCCTTCGCTATGCCTGATTTGTTTGATAAGCTGGAAGCTAATCCCAAAACGCGTGAGTTCCTGAAACAGCCGGACTATCGGATGATGATGGCAGCCTTGCAGAAAAACCCCAACAGTTTACAGTGAGTGGCAGCAGAGAGACCTGCTAGAATTTCCATTTTGAAAAGATGAAATAAGCACAGGAGCAGTATTGATGGTGGTTTCATGCTCATAAGAAAATGTACAAGGGTCAAGTCTGAAAACTTCTTTATCTTTGATGTCGTCAAACCAGAGGTGACTTTGTGATGTAGCTTCAGACAGAGCATGTTCAGTTTTAAAGTTGTATTTCACTGGACATGTGCTCTCCTAAACTAGGAAGTGATGTCATTAAACAGGAAGTGCTTACAACTTTATGTATCCCACTGGGCATGTAATGCGATGGGATATAGTAATCATCTGGTCGATCCGTACGTCGATGCCAGCGCATTACTTGAAAACCGTGAAAGATTACATGTATTGACCATGGGCTGAAAGTGGTACCTTTTGCTAAAGTGGGGGCCAGGGGGATATGTCATCTTTTTGCTTAGGGTAGCTGGAGGCAGACGACTAAGATGTACTGCTTTAAATGACATAAAGGATCAAAGATGAATGTAGGTAGATGATATGATTAGATGATGTCAGAATGGTTTTGGTCGGGAAGTTTGGGGCCATTCAGATCAGCTGGAAATGGGGCTGCGTCTGTGTTAGCATTTTCTTGTTACAAATAGAACTGTTCTATTTCAATATTATTTCCAGAAATATTCAAGATCCCCGCATCATCGCAACACTTGGTGTCTTGTTTGGGTTTGAAACTTTGGGTGATGAGCGTGAGGATCCGATGCCGTCCCGGAAGCCGGAGCAAGCACCACCCACAAACAACAAACAACAAACAAAATCAGAAGACAAATCTTTATCCTCAAATCAAAAACAGGTAGAGAAACTAATTTCTGCATATATGCAGCCATTATGGTTTAGTAGCGATTGATCAAAATGCATTTAGGGCAGGCTGTCAAGGTCAGAATATCAGATTTAGGGGCGGGATGGTATTTGCTTTGGGGTGGGGGGGGGGGGATGTATTTTAGAGGTAATGATAGAAGCCAGGAGACCCATTGGGGTTAAGGCTGGGGAGCAGGGATGTCTGCATTGGTGTTCAAGATGGGGTAGGCAGGTGTGCTTTGGGGGTGAAGGCTGGGAGTCAGGGTTTTCTGCATTGGTGTTCAAGCTGGGGTAGGGAGATGTGCTTTGGGGTGAAGGCTGGGGAGCAGGGATGTCTGCATTGGTGTTCAACCTGGGGTAGGGAGATGTGCTTTGGGGTGAAGGCTGGGGAGCAGGGATGTCTGCTTTGGTGTTCAAGCTGGGGTAGGGAGATGTGCTTTGGGGTGAAGGCTGGGGAGCAGGATGTCTGCATTGGTGTTCAACCTGGGGTAGGGAGATGTGCTTTGGGGTGAAGGCTGGGGAGCAGGGATGTCTGCTTTGGTGTTCAAGCTGGGGTAGGGAGATGTGCTTTGGGGTGAAGGCTGGGGAGCAGTGATGTCTGCATTGGTATTCAGGCTTGGGTAGGGAGATGTGCTTTGGGGTGAAGGCTGGGGAGCAGGGATGTCTGCATTGGTATTCAAGCTTGGGTAGGGAGATGTGCTTTGGGGTGAAGGCTGGGGAGCAGGGATGTCTGCTGTGGTGTTCAGGCTGGGGTAGGGAGATGTGCTTTGGGGTGGAAGGGTGGGAGTCAGGGATGTCTGCTTTGGTGTTCAAGATGGGGTAGGGAGATGTGCTTTGGGGTGGAAGGCTGGGGTAGGGTGATACTCTGCAGTGTGTTTATCTACCACTGTCTAACTTAAGTACTGTCGGAAATGCTAGAAAACTGCTTTGTGCCTTTTAAAAAAGGATATGATTTTTCACGGACAGTTGTTATTGAAATATCGAGTAACAACCGATCACCCTACCTGTGGTTTGAAGTATTTCAGTCACAAGGAGTCCTATCAACAAGTTTACAGGCAACAAATTCGAAAGAAAACAGGAAGTTCACATTGATGGTAGCAGTCTGAAACAGACTATAGAAATATGCGCACGTGACTCCGTTCTAATGATAATAATGTAGTCTTCATAAAACATCTAATCCACAGACAAAAATCATTTTGAGAAAATTCAAGATGTGCATCTTCTAAAATGACAAAATGACGATGCGTTTGTTTTGTTAACATCGCTCCCATGATGCATGTAACATTACACTTGCATAGCCATAACCATGGTACACGACATGGAGTCTGTACTGGGAAATGTATACAAGTTCTTAACGCTTTAGAGAGATAGAGGGAAACCATTTATTAATTTAGATAGGGTGAATTACCGAACTGCCCAAACTATGGGGTTTTCAATTCATACCATCAAATCTACAGTATGATAAGAAAACAAAACAAGTATAGGGGTGGTCTCAAAAACAAAACTGGCACGTAAACGGATATAGGACAGCTTTGATACAGGATGATCAGGCGTATAGTGTACAAGCTTTATGAGCAGAAGGTAACTATCGGCAGACGGACAAAAAGCACCCATTGTACCATCAGGTAAAGGTAATCGTGTCCTTGTTTTGCATGCTACAGCCCATGATATGGGGCTTATTTATGGGTGTGTGCTAGTTTTCGAGGCGAAAAAGAAAACTGGTGATTTTCATAAGGAAATTATAGGATGTGATGTATTCATAGACTGGTTGGAACTTCAGCTATTGCCCATTTTAAACAACGTCAGTGTTATCGTCATGGATAACGCCAGTTAATATAACTTCCGGGAATCAGATACTGTCGCCCAAACGAATAAATAGTCTAAAAGACGACCATACAGGAATATATGACATTGTCGACTTAAGACCATTGAAACAAAAGTTCAACTCATGGAGAAAATTCAGCTGAATAAGAAACCAGTAAAGTACAAGACATATGTGCTGGCGGCACAACACGGTTACGTTGTCTTACGTATGCCAGTCAGACAGTGTGAGCTCAACCCTGCTGTGTCCATCTTGGCTAAGTGTAACGGGTTCGTAGAAAGACATAACACAACATTCAAAAGTACAGATTCATATACGTCATCAGCGGAGATAAATGCTACCTCAAGAAACCATCTGTAGAACAACAAATACTTCTGGATTCCAAAATCGCAACCTTCCAATACTCATCCCATTTCATAGCTTTTAAGTAGTAGTCCATCATGTTTCCAAGCAGTATATATGCAGTACATATCCTAAATTGCTACCCCATCAACTCATGTCAATTAAGTACAATAACATGAATATTTTGAGACCACCCCCATCTCGGTAACATTTGCATCCGGGAGAATGCACGGGACGGTGTGAGGTCATCACCTCAGGACAGGTGTTAGGGGATTACCTCAGGTTATAGGCCATTTCATACATGCATGACAACATAGGAATATTTTCTAAGTTTATCATCATTTTACCTGTAAAAGTACATTTTAAGGGTAATCACTATGTCAGTTAAGACAGGCTAGATTAGGGCCATTCGCGTTATTTTGATGTATGCTCTTTTTATAGTCATATGACTCGTATTTATTAAATGAAGCTATAAAAGCAGTTTTCTAGCATTTCCGACAATACTTAAGTTCACATTGCACTATTTATCGGGGCAAGGGCCTATTTTGAAAACATGAATATTTAGCCTAGTTTTTCCACAGGTCATTTCATTCAAGGTAAGATCTGCAATGATTTCCAGTAATAAGTTTTGGGTGTACCTGGTGAGCTATTGGTGGTCTCACAGTTGTTTCTGTATCTTTTGTTGCTATGGTTACCTGGTTGACGTGCTTCAGGCCCTGGTGGAAAAAGATGAGGGGAATGCAGCATACAAGAAGAAGGACTTTGCTGCTGCACTCGAGCACTACCAGAAGGCTGCCGACCTGGACCCCACAAACATCACCATCCTCACCAACAGGGCAGGTCAGTCAGAGGAAGTCACACTAAGAACTAATTAGAAATGTAATTCCAGCTTCATTAGTGATGTGAGCTTGTTAGTAGTCAGAACAAGTTGGTAAATAGTCCTCATGTACCTCCATTGACCCTGATGAACCTCCACTTGTCCTGATGAACCTCCACTTGATCTGATGAACCTCCACTTGATCTGATGAACCGCCACTTGATCTGATGAACCTCCACTTGTCCTGATGAACCTCCACTTGTCCTGATGAACCTCCACTTGATCTGATGAACCTCCACTTGTCCTGATGAACCTCCACTTGATTTGATGAACCTCCACTTGTCCTGATGAACCTCCACTTGTCCTGATGAACCTCCACTTGTCCTGATGAACCTCCACTTGATCTGATGAACCTCCACTTGATCTGATGAACCTCCACTTGATCTGATGAACCTCCACTTGTCCTGATGAACCTCCACTTGTCTTGATGAACCTCCACTTGTCCTGATGAACCTCCACTTGATCTGATGAACCTCCACTTGTCCTGATGAACCTCCACTTGATCTGATGAACCTCCACTTGTCCTGATAAACCTCCACTTGATCTGATGAACCTCCACTTGATCTGATGAACCTCCACTTGTCCTGATGAACCTCCACTTGATCTGATGAACCTCCACTTGATCTGATGAACCTCCACTTGATCTGATGAACCTCCACTTGATCTGATGAACCTCCACTGGTCCTGATGAACCTCCACTTGATCTGATGAACCTCCACTTGTCCTGATGAACCTCCACTTGTCCTGATGAACCTCCACTTGTCCTGATGAACCTCCACTGGTCCTGATGAACCTCCACTTGATCTGATGAACCTCCACTTGTCCTGATGAACCTCCACTTGTCCTGATGAACCTCCACTTGTCCTGATGAACCTCCACTGGTCCTGATGAACCTCCACTTGATCTGATGAACCTCCACTTGTCCTGATGAACCTCCACTTGTCCTGATGAACCTCCACTTGTCCTGATGAACCTCCACTTGATCTGATGAACCTCCACTTGTCCTGATAAACCTCCACTTGTCCTGATGAACCTCCACTGGTCCTGATGAACCTCCACTTGATCTGATGAACCTCCACTTGTCCTGATGAACCTCCACTTGTCCTGATGAACCTCCACTTGTCCTGATGAACCTCCACATGTCTTGATGAACCTCCACTTGATCTGATGAACCTCCACTTGATCTGATGAACCTCCACTTGTCCTGATAAACCTCCACTTGTCCTGATGAACTTAGGAACATTTAAGAAGTAAATATCTAAAATGTCTTTGTGGAATATTTAGACTAGAACTCCAGTTGCACTGACTGTCTATCTGCTGTGTCTTCAACCTTCCTTGCTTGTCTGTTCCAGCTGTGTATTTCGAACAAGGCAACTACGACCAGTGTATAGAGGAATGTAAGACAGCCATTGATACAGGACGGGAACACCGAGCTGACTATAAACTTATAGCCAAGTAAGACTCCCCAGATCCTGTTTGCTTGGTAACTTCATCTCGATTACCCAGTGTTTTGTATCTCCATTCTTGTATGATAAATAATCTGCCTTCGTTAGGAAGAGATCTCACCATCTCCCATCCCTTGTGTAGCATCTCGTATTTGGTACAGGACTCGAGGAAGCTGGGGGGTGAATGGGGCCAGTGTATTTATTAGCATAGAAAGGAGATATGATACACTGGATTATCATGGAAGCAGTAACCATGGTAACACATGTAGCTGTAACAGGCTGTACTGGACATGGGTCCCGAGGTCCCTCCAGGTCCGGGGTCATGTGACTGCAGCCATGTTGTTGATACAACCTTCAGATCATCGTGACTCTGGTCACTCAGTTAACTACAATTATTGTGGTGAATTTTCATTATAAACATTTATTAACTGAAAGCTGGTTTCATGTATTTTGATCGCGCCAATTATGTTTCTGGGTTTGTTAGCACCGCACCCCTGCTGAAATGGTAAACGTCTGAGACCTGCATCACTTCAGGCTTTCCTCCCACATTAAGCTGACATGCCTTGTTTAACTGGAATACTGTTCAAAGCGGCATTAAACCAAACTCACACATGCATTTTGAAAAAATTATGTCTATGTTTGCTGGCAATTTCCCACGATTGAATTTAGTTACCGTGACAACATGGTAAAACAAAACTTTGCATGTATATCCCCATTATTGTAAGTTAGTGGCTGTCAGTATTTATTGATTTAAGTATTTGACACCAAAACCTACGGAACGTCCGTGATGTGTCTGAGAATGTTAACTCATGTTGTTACCATGGTTACACCAGGAATTTAGAAATAATTTGCTCTTACATGTTCAGTATCTCGACAGTATTGAAGCAGATCCTTGGGTATGATAGAACACGTCGTTGTTAGGATATGTTGTTGGAACATGTTGTTGGAACATGTTGTCAGTACAAATTAGAAGACATTGTTAGAAGAACACATTGTTAGAACATGTCAGAACACGTTGTTAGAACACGTCTGAACATGTTGTTGTCAGAACATGTTATCATGTAATGTTATGTTGACAGTGTATTGAAACTTCCCCTTTGGACAAAAACATGGCCATTTATTGATGTGGAATTTAGGGTTAAGTCTGTAACAGGTCTAAACAGGTAACATTGTATTGATTCTAGATATTTTGATATGTGCCTGATTGTCCTTTGAACTTAAGACATCCCAACACACTCTGTAATAGGAGACATGCAGGGAGGAGACGTTTTCTGAGGATCTTCGGAATTTTGGGGAGTTTGATACATCAAGGATCACTTTTGTGATACATGCCATTACAACATATGCATAAATCATATGGTCCCCCACTCGGCCCCAGACCCAAGACCCCGGGGTAACTTTCAGTGTGTTAAAAACAATAGACATTCTCATCCCTGCGTATCAATACTGGACATTTTGAGACAACCATCGTCAGTACCTGTGAAAGGAGTGACGACCAGTCTGTGTAGCCCCTGACTTTAGGTTCAAGAACTTATTCATGTGTGGTGCATTGATTTTGTATTTTTATTATTTTGCAGAGCATTCTTTCGTATAGGTAATGCATATTTAAAAAAGGAAGATTTGACAAATGCATTGGCGTTTTTCAACAAATCTTTGTCGGAGCATCGAGTGCAAGACGTAGTAAAGAAAGCATTGGAGGTATGTGGGCCAGGGTTTGTCTTAGAATAGGACAATGTGTTGTATTCTACTCCGCTATTGATAAGGAAGTTATCATGTCATGTTAGAAACAAGCGCCTGCCCGTAGGCCTGTTGCAAGTAGACTTTGTGTAGGACCTGTAGTTTGTATTGATCCTTATGGCTTGCAGTAAATTTACAAGTCCATTCATTTGTTTCAATAAATTGCATGGTTTTTTATCTGAGGGCCTAAAGAGTTGAGTCAGGGCCTGCAGCATCTAATGTCTGTGGGTCCTGATGGCAGTCTGGCAATTTGTTTTATTTCAGACACTGCATTATCTGTCCATGACACACAAGACTGATTTTCATAGTAAGCCAAGTGTATGTTTAAATATGTCTGACATGTCTGATTATCATTTACAATAGTTGAGCAGTATTTATGTCAGTTTGGGCATGAAAAAACAAGTTTAAGTAAGAACATTGCAGTGGTTTGTGTATGTGTCTGGTGTACCATGTGTATGTGTCTGGTGTACCATGTGTATGTGTCTGGTGAACCATGTGTATGTGTCTGGTGTACCATGTGTATGTGTCTGGTGTACCATGTGTATGTGTCTGGTGTACCGTGTGTATGTGTCTGGTGTACCATGTGTATGTGTCTGGTGTACCATGTGTATGTGTCTGGTGTACCATGTGTATGTGTCTGGTGTACCATGTGTATGTGTCTGGTGTACCATGTGTATGTGTCTGGTGTACCATGTGTTTGTGTCTGGTGTATCGTGTATGTGTCTGGTGTACCATGTGTATGTGTCTGGTGAACCATGTGTATGTGTCTGGTGTACCATGTGTATGTGTCTGGTGAACCATGTGTATGTGTCTGGTGAACCATGTGTATGTGTCTGGTGTACCATGTGTATGTGTCTGGTGTACCGTGTGTATGTGTCTGGTGTACCATGTGTATGTGTCTGGTGTACCATGTGTATGTGTCTGGTGTACCATGTGTATGTGTCTGGTGTACCATGTGTATGTGTCTGGTGTACCATGTGTATGTGTCTGGTGTACCATGTGTATGTGTCTGGTGTACCGTGTGTATGTGTCTGGTGTACCATGTGTATGTGTCTGGTGTACCGTGTGTATGTGTCTGGTGTACCATGTGTATGTGTCTGGTGTACCGTGTGTATGTGTCTGGTGTACCGTGTGTATGTGTCTGGTGTACCATGTGTATGTGTCTGGTGTACCATGTGTATGTGTCTGGTGTACCGTGTGTATGTAGCTGGTGTACCATGTGTATGTGCCTGGTGTACCATGTGTATGTGTCTGGTGTACCATGTGTTTGTGTCTGGTGTATCGTGTATGTGTCTGGTGTACCGTGTGTATGTGTCTGGTGTACCATGTGTATGTGTCTGGTGTACCGTGTGTATGTGTCTGGTGTACCGTGTGTATGTGTCTGGTGTACCATGTGTATGTGGCTGGTGTACCATGTGTATGTGTCTGGTGTACCGTGTGTATGTGTCTGGTGTACCATGTGTTTGTGTCTGGTGTATCGTGTATGTGTCTGGTGTACCATGTGTATGTGTCTGGTGTACCATGTGTATGTGTCTGGTGTACCATGTGTATGTGTCTGGTGTACCATGTGTACCATGTGTATGTGTCTGGTGTACCATGTGTATGTGTCTGGTGTACCATGTGTATGTGTCTGGTGTATCATGTGTATGTGTCTGGTGTACCATGTGTATGTGTCTGGTGTACCATGTGTATGTGTCTGATGTACCATGTGTACCATGTGTATGTGTCTGGTGTACCATGTGTATGTGTCTGGTGTACCAGGTGTATGTGTCTGGTGTACCGTGTGTATGTTTTTATTGGAATTGAATCAAATGTACCAACTATCCTTCTGTTGGAACAGGTTGAAAAGTTGATCAAGGAGAGAGAAAAATTAGCATATATCAACCCCGAATTGTCTCTTCAAGAAAAGGAGAAGGGGAACGAATGCTTCAAGAAGGGTAAAGTCCACCAAGCACAACAAACTGATAATAAAATAAATATGTTCCAGAATCGGCACAATGTATTGTCACAAAAGACACAATTTGATGCCGTTTTACATCCCTCGGGCATGTTGGGCATGTGTTAGTCATGCTAGAACCGTCACCATTGGTTTGAATCCTACATTCCCAATGATTATATTGAAAGGTTTGCCGGCACCACACCAGCTCATGGTGACGAGATATTTCTTCAGCTACAACTGCAAAAGACATATTTTTTATTAAAACTATGAGACTAAATACTTTTTAAAACAAAAAACATGTCATAATGCCAGATAGTTTCTTTATTTTTTTAATGGTAGGAAGGAACCACAATTATTTTATGAAGTATTTACCGAGACAATATTAAGGGCCGGTCCTAAAGGTGTGCATATAGCAGCAAATGGTCTTTCTGTTTCCGTGGTAGTTTCTCTGAACGACATGGTTCACTTGTTGCAGGGGATTACCCGAATGCTGTGAAGCATTACACCGAGGCTGTCAAACGGAACCCAGAGGATGCCAAGATATACAGCAACAGGTCTGCCTGTTACACGAAGCTCATGGAATTTGAGCTGGCACTGAAAGATTGTGATACATGTATCAAGATTGACCCCGCATTTAGTAAGTTTATAACTCTGCTTTTTGTTGCATGACTTTTTTAAGTTTGTGGGCCAACCACCTTATCAAGTGGAGGTCTTGTGTTTATCACTGTCATCCCATAACAAGTCGGGGGCACGGGTGGCCCTGTCGTGGGTTTCAACGAAGTTCTAAACGTCTGAGACCTTCATCACTTCGAGCTTTCCTCCCATATTAAGCTAACACGCAGTGACATAACTGGAATACTGTTAAAAGTGGCATTAAACCCCACTCACTCACTCACTCACTCACTCACTCACTCACTCACTCCATAATTTCTGTTCAACATGTGATAGTTACCTAGGTCACACATTCCACACACATGTTTACCTCTGGGGACCTCTATTCCTGGTCATGAGGCTAATTAGACACAATTTTATGGATAACAACTTCTTTATTTACTGTTATGTCTACTTGTGTGTCATTCGTCAAATTCTGAGAAATGCCTATCAAAGAATTCATTGTTCATTTGGCTGGCAACTAAGATGGATCTGTTAGAAACTCCTGAATTTTCTTTTATTCAGTTTTCATGTTTCAATTGACTTGTTTCAAAGCATAGTCTGAAATGGATATCGCCAGTTTGACACGTGTGCCGTTAATTACGAGAAAGCTGCTTTCTGGCTGGCTTTGTGTTAGTCGTTTCAGTGGTCGGTCAATGTTTGCGAAAGGTCGTTCTGACGTCACCTGTTCTGGGATGTCATCAGATCTAAGATCTGATTTAAATGAGATTTCTTGAATGTAAACAAAACCTTGTGTAGAATATAATGTCAGTGAAACGTGTACCTTTATTTCAGTTAAAGGCTATCTACGTAAGGGAGCTAATCTACTAGCAATGAGGGAGACGACGAAGGCTGCTGTGTGGTATCAGAAGGCACTGGACATCGACCCCAGCTGTCAGGTGCGATGTTTGACATGCAGTCAGCGATGTTTGACATGCAGTCAGCGATGTTTGACAATGAGTCAGCGATGTTTGACATGCAGTCAGCGATGTTTGACAAGCAGTCAGCGATGTTTGACATGCAGTCAGCGATGTTTGACATGCAGTCACCCTATTGACAAGCAGTCAGCGATGTTTGACATGCAGTCAGCGACATTTGACATGCAGTCAGCGACGTTTGACATGCAGTCAGCGACGTTTGACATGCAGTCAGTGACATTTGACATGCAGTCAGCGACATTTGACATGCAGTCAGCAACATTTGACATGCAGTCAGCAACATTTGACATGCAGTCAGAAATAATTGACCGGTAGTCGGAGATGTTCACGTGCAGTCAGTCATGTGCACGTACATGCATGAAGATCAGGGTGCTTGTCGTAAGAGGTGACTAACGAGATCGCGTGGTCAGGCTCAGTGAGCTTGGTTGATGCATGTCATCATATCCCACTGTGTAGATTGATGCTCATGATGTCAATCACTGGATTGATTGGTCCAGACTCGATTATTTACAGACTGCAGTCATATAGCTGGAATATTGCTGCACGCAGCATTAAACAACAAACAGACCACAGAACACCCTGTGATGTATTAAGTCTGGTCAGAGCTAAGTCAGCCACAACTCATCCTTCATCCTTGTCAGTTTTCTTCTGAAACTCTGCTTTGATACCAGGAAGCACTTGAAGGCTACAAGAAGTCGGTAACTGCTGAGAACAGCGACCCCGAGGCAGTGAAGAAGCGAGCAATGGGTGACCCCGAGGTGCAGCAGATCCTGCAGGATCCTGCCATGCAGATGATCCTCCAACAGATGACCAAAGACCCCAACGCAGTCCGAGAGTAAGTGTTCCACTGATCCTTGAAACCAGTGGATGTACATCATCCAGTTGGGGCCGTGGGGTAGCCTTTTGGGTAAAGTGTTCGCCAGTCACGCCAAAGACCCAGGTTTGATTCCCTACTTGAGTACAATGTGTGAAGCCCATTTCTGGTGTCCCCTGTCATGATATGGCTGGAAAATTGGTAAAACCATACTCACTCACACATGTTGGGGCTTCCAAGGTAGACGTCAAGATGTATGACAGCGCTGTACCACAAGATACCAGATACTTGACCAGACTTTAGTAAGACATACTACCTGTAGTATATATAGTATATACTACAGCTATGGAATGGACTATATAAGCTGAGCTTACCTGACAGAACAGAATGTAAATTGACATGGGCTTCTAGCCAATGACATAGTCTGTGGTTATTTAAAAGTCACGTGAACTGCTACTTACGAAACTGAATGATGTTTGAGATGTTATTGTTGTTTGAGACGGACCTGGAAATATCTTGTTTTATCTGCGTCTAGAACGTCTTGTGGAGTTTAAGGGATGTTTGTGACAATGTTGTTTGTGACTGACATGGTAATATCTTGTTTTATCGCATCTAGAATGTCTTGTAGAGTGTGAGGGATGTTTGTGACAGTGTTGTTTGAGACGGACCTGGTAATATCTTGTTTTATCGCATCTAGAATGTCTTGTGGAGTGTGAGGGATGTTTGTGACAATGTTGTTTGAGACTGACCTAGTAATATCTTGTTTTATCGCATCTAGAATGTCTTGTAGAGTGTGAGGGATGTTTGTGACAGTGTTGTTTGAGACGGACCTGGTAATATCTTGTTTTATCCGCATCTAGAATGTCTTGTGGAGTGTGAGGGATGTTTGTGACAATGCTGTTTGAGACTGACCTGGTAATATCTTGTTTTATCGCATCTAGAACGTCTTGTGGAGTGTGAGGGATGTTTGTGACAATGCTGTTTGAGACTGACCTGGTAATATCTTGTTTTATCGCATCTAGAATGTCTTGTGGAGTGTAAGGGATGTTTGTGACAATGTTGTTTGTGACTGACATGGTAATATCTTGTTTTATCGCATCTAGAATGTCTTGTAGAGTGTGAGGGATGTTTGTGACAGTGTTGTTTGAGACGGACCTGGTAATATCTTGTTTTATCGCATCTAGAATGTCTTGTGGAGTGTGAGGGATGTTTGTGACAATGTTGTTTGAGACTGACCTAGTAATATCTTGTTTTATCGCATCTAGAATGTCTTGTGGAGTGTGAGGGATGTTTGTGACAATGCTGCTGTTGTTGCAGGCACCTGAAGAACCCCCACATCGCAGCTAAGATCCAGAAGTTGATGGAAGTTGGCATCATCGCCATACACTGAGGACACCCTTGACTAGGTCGCCACTTCTATCATGCCCCCAGGGGGCGCTGTGCTTGTTCAGCTCACCTCATGATCATCTTCATGTCTCCGATACGCAACTGGCCTTTGATAGTGCATGTGTATGTATATATGAAGACTGAACCATTATAAACCTGCCTCGTTCAGCGCCAGGAACCTTGCTCTCTCATATGTGTGCTTGTTGTTCATATTTGAAAATAACAACAGTTCGGACGTATGAATTTAATTATTTGTATTAAGTTATGTTTAGCACATACTTGAAATGTAATTGGTATTTTTCTCTTTCATATTGTAAAATGAAGTAATCCATTGTTCAATGACAACATTCTAGGACATCATTCTAGGACAACATTCTAGGACATCATTCTAGGACAACATTCTAGGACATCATTCTAGGACAACATTGTTTGTAATAGGACATCGCATGACAGCTCCCCCAGTAGGTTTACACATAGTCACATGGTCTGGGTCTGGGTTACCTAAGGGCAGACAACTCTAACTTTCCTACCAGCTTCTCTTCACCAGGCTAGCCTTTCATTGAAGAGGTTCATTTTGGATAAGAAACATTTCTTGCAGCTCTGATGGGGAGTCATCATTGTGCTTGTTTCTACCATCAAATATACTTGTCATGCCTAATGTGTTGTGTAACTGAATATATGGGCCACTGCCTGCAGGAATATTGAATAACTATGTGCACAAAGTCAGTTGTTTCTAAAAAGTGCTATATAAAGAAGGACATTGTCAGTCTTGAATTGTTGAGTTTGTTTTCATTTTACTTTTTCATCTTCCCAGGGCAAGGGTGTTAACAGACTATAAAAGTCCAGTTTCCACCCTTGCCGAACTTGGCTGGAATTATGAAGTTATATTTTGGCTGAACTAACGAGGCTATGCATTGTCTAATCAAAATCGCGTAATGAAATCAACATGCGGTTTGTAAGCTGCCATGCAGATTTCGCTTGATTGCAGGATTTGCAAAACCTGTACCGCCAACTTGGCGTCAACAGATATTTTCCAAATCATTTCAGCTTTAAAATCAATGTGCTCATGTGATTTGATGCACTTCACAAAGTAAGACCCTTTTTATTACAATAAAGGCTTTTGATTATTGACTTATTGATTTGAAGCAAATGCAAGTAATATGAGAGGTGGAATCTGATTGGTCAATAGGAGGGACAAAACTTGTAATAGCCACTGCTGGCGTTATGATCGAACCCAGAAACTCTAGCTAGTTTGCCAAAGGTTGAAACTGGACTTTTACAATCAAGAATTTCTAAAATAATGAAATTGCGCTGGTAACAATTGTCTGGCGCAAAATCACTTGGATACCGAGATATTTCCTACTGTTTACATGAAGTGATCAGTTTGATGTATCAAGGAGCATCTGTATCACACAGATCAGTTTGATGTATCAAGGAGCACCTGTAATACACAGATCAGTTCGATGTATCAAGGAGCACCTGTATCACACAGATCAGTTTGATGTATCAAGGAGCACCTGTATCACACAGATCAGTTTGATGTATCAAGTAGCACCTGTATCACACAGATCAGTTTGATGTATCAAGGAGCATCTGTATCACACAGATCAGTTTAATGTATCAAGGAGCATCTGTATCACACAGATCAGTTTGATGTATCAAGGAGCATCAGTATCACACAGATCAGTTTAATGTATCAAGGAGCATCTGTATCACACAGATCAGTTTGATGTATCAAGGAGCGTCTGTATCACACAGATCAGTTTGATGTATCAAGGAGCATCTGTATCACACAGATCAGTTTGATGTATCAATGAGCGTCTGTATCACACAGATCAGTTTGATGTATCAAGGAGCACCTGTATCACACAGATCAGTTTGATGTATCAAGGAGCATCTGTATCACACAGATCAGTTTGATGTATGAAGGAGCACCTGTATCACACAGATCAGTTTGATGTATCAAGGAGCATCTGTATCACACAGATCAGTTTGATGTATCAAGGAGCACCTGTATCACACAGATCAGTTTGATGTATCAAGGAGCATCTGTATCACACAGATCAGTTTGATGTATCAAGGAGCATCTGTATCACACAGATCATTTGATGTATCAAGGAGCATCTGTATCACACAGATCAGTTTGATGTATCAAGCACCTGATGTATCAAGGAGCATCTGTATCACACAGATCAGTGGTGTGTGCTAGTTTGTACCCAGGCAGATGACACCTGCTTATTTACCTCAAGTACTCTGTTTAACATCATCAATATCTCAATTAATCATTACTTGTGTTCATTTCTATAAGTATAGATAGGCTTCTAACTGGTGTTCTGTCTGAAGGTCCAGACTACTAACTGGTGTTCTGTCTGACGGTCCAGGCTACTAACTGGTGTTCTGTCTGAAGGTCCAGACTACTAACTGGTGTTCTGTCTGAAGGTCCAGGCTACTAACTGGTGTTCTGTCTGAAGGTCCAGACTACTAACTGGTGTTCTGTCTGAAGGTCCAGGCTACTAACTGGTGTTCTGTCTGAAGGTCCAGGCTACTAACTGGTGTTCTGACTGAAGGTCCAGGCTACTAACTGGTGTTCTGTCTGAAGGTCCAGGCGGCTAACTAGTGTTCTGTCTTAACTGGTGTTCTGTCTGAAGGTCCAGGCTACTAACTGGTGTTCTGTCTGAAGGTCCAGGCTACTAACTGGTGTTCTGTCTGAAGGTCCAGGCTACTAACTGGTGTTCTGACTGAAGGTCCAGACTACTAACTGGTGTTCTGTCTGAAGGTCAAGGCTACTAACTGGTGTTCTGTCTGAAGGTCAAGGCTACTAACTGGTGTTCTGTCTGAAGGTCCAGACTACTAACTGGTGTTCTGTCTGACGGTCCAGGCTACTAACTGGTGTTCTGTCTGAAGGTCCAGACTACTAACTGGTGTTCTGTCTGAAGGTCCAGGCTACTAACTGGTGTTCTGTCTGAAGATCCAGGCTACTAACTGGTGTTCTGTCTGAAGGTCCAGGCTACTAACTGGTGTTCTGTCTGAAGGTCCAGGCTACTAACTGGTGTTCTGACTGAAGGTCCAGACTACTAACTGGTGTTCTGTCTGAAGGTCCAGGCGGCTAACTAGTGTTCTGTCTTAACTGGTGTTCTGTCTGAAGGTCCAGGCTACTAACTGGTGTTCTGTCTGAAGGTCCAGGCTACTAACTGGTGTTCTGTCTGAAGGTCCAGGCTACTAACTGGTGTTCTGTCTGAAGGTCCAGGCTACTAACTGGTGTTCTGTCTGAAGGTCCAGGCTACTAACTGGTGTTCTGTCTGAAGGTCCAGGCTACTAACTGGTGTTCTGACTGAAGGTCCAGACTACTAACTGGTGTTCTGACTGAAGGTCCAGACTACTAACTGGTGTTCTGTCTGAAGGTCCAGGCGGCTAACTAGTGTTCTGTCTTAACTGGTGTTCTGTCTGAAGGTCCAGGCTACTAACTGGTGTTCTGTCTGAAGGTCCAGGCTACTAACTGGTGTTCTGTCTGAAGGTCCAGGCTACTAACTGGTGTTCTGACTGAAGGTCCAGACTACTAACTGGTGTTCTGTCTGAAGGTCCAGGCTACTAACTGGTGTTCTGTCTGAAGGTCCAGGCTACTAACTGGTGTTCTGACTGAAGGTCCAGACTACTAACTGGTGTTCTGTCTGAAGGTCCAGGCGGCTAACTAGTGTTCTGTCTTAAGGTCCAGGCTACTAACCAGTGTTCTGTCTGAAGGTCCAGGCTACTAATAAGTGTTCTGTCTGAAAGTCCAGGCTACCGACCAGTGTTCTGTCTGAAGGTCCAGGCTACCGGCCAGTGTTCTGTCTGAAGGTCCAGGCTACCTACCGACCAGTGTTCTGTCTGAAGGTCCAGGCTACCGGCCAGTGTTGTGTCTAAAGGTCCAGGCTACCGGCCAGTGTTCTGTCTGAAGGTCCAGGCTACCGGCCAGTGTTCTGTCTGAAGGTCCAGGCTACCGACCAGTGTTCTGTCTGAAGGTCCAGGCTACCGGCCAGTGTTCTGTCTGAAGGTCCAGGCTACCGACCAGCGTTGTGTCTGAAGGTCCAGGCTACCGGCCAGTGTTCTGTCTGAAGGTCTAGGCTACCGGCCAGTCTTCTGTCTGAAGGTCCAGGCTACCGGCCAGTGTTCTCTCTGAAGGTCCAGGCTAAAGACCACAGACCACTGTTATCAGAAATCCAGTGTTCTGTTGCCAAGGGCACTCAGTGTGAATCCTAGATACATCCCTGTATGTGTATTTTATTACCTGTAGAACAATCCCGGGAATCTTTCAATAGCGGTGCCATGTATTATCCGACCAGACCATTGTGGAAAGATATCAGACAGAACATTAGTCATCTGAAGGTGGTATACAAATCACTGGGCAACAACATGTGAGTAATCAAGTCTGGATCAGGCAAACCAATGGCTGACAGCATGAGCACCGATCAACACCATTGGTCACAATGGCACGCAATCAGCCAATCACCAAGCCTAATCACCCGATCTATTTCAGTTCCAGGTTGGTGGCGACCAATTGTACCAGGGAATATTGTTCTGTATGTATTTACCAGGAAACTAATAAGCAACAAAGAACCACAGTACCTTGGAATCAGTAATGTCATTTATTATTCGAGTAAGCTTACAATATGTCCATGTACATATGGTTGTTATTTGGTCTAAATGAACAATTGACAGTGAAAACAAGAAACAATAATAACATCATTTAATTGAAGAAGAACTGTACTGAAAGCGAGTCACATGACTTTATCTGTGGTCAATAAATCTTTTAATCCTTGAATTACTGAAAGTTCAACAAACTTGAGAAAATCATCTATGAAATCATGTGTTTGTCGTGGATCTTTTTTCTGGATTTGGAGTTGAGATAAGGGCAGGTAAACTCTAACGGCACATTGTGACGAACTTCAGGACAAGTGACTTAATTTTCATGTCTTCTTAATCAAAATGTTGAAGGTTTACAGTTATATTTTTTCAAATAAATTTGTTATAAATCTGAACATTGTTTAGGGACTGGTCATTAATTATAGAGAGGGGTCAACAAAAACTGTTACATAACATGGGGTTGGGTGGGGTGGGGTGGGTAGCACATTCTGATACAGTCAGACCATTCTCACCTTCCACACGCACATCCTACAATAAATGACCAGTCCCTTGCCAAACCCAATAGTTATAAATCCGTGTCAATAAGATAATATTCTGTTTAACAAAAACTAACAATGACGACAAATGTATCTCAAGTTCACATAACAGAGCTTGGTGAGGAACCCTCGTCTTCAGATCTGAATACTGGCTGGTACCGCTGCTACAGATGACAAAACAAGGGCTGCACAACGAACACAACCAAGGCAGTGTTGTTATCCTGGCGTGGTGCTTGTGAGCGTTTGCGGTTTCCTGTGTATCGATAGTTTGCAGAACTAATGTCCAGCCCCCGACTGAGCCATGGACTACTTCACAGTAGGAACGATGTGTGACAAACTCTAGACATATGGTGAGTGAGTGAGATTAACGCTGCTTTGAATAATATTCCAGTTGTATCACGGCGTCAGCTTAATGTGAGAGGAAAGTGCTAAGTGATGCAGGTCTTAGACGTTTACCACTTCCGTGGAACCCACGAGCAGGCCTGGTGCTGACAAACATAATCGGGATTCGATCCCACGATCACAGGTTTCTGGCGTGCCCAAGGGACGTAACTCTGCACAGCGAATTGTAGACAGCTGGGCCTCTCGTGCTCCCTCGAGACTATGGGATGAGCATAG